AGGAAAGAAAAAAAAGAAAAACAAACCAAAGCACACCTTCATTCCTTCACAGGAGGCTCAGCAGTATCACGTACTAAGACACAGGTACTATGGAGAGCAAAATGTGACTTCAGTTTTCCCTTAGAACTGTGGTAAGGGAGTGAAGGGGAAGAAAAAGGCCATGGATTGTCTGATAGTTGTGCAGAAAGCAGCATCGCACCCACATTTTCAGAAAGCCACAAGAGTGTGTGGGTTCTCTGTTTTCGGAACAAGAGCACAGTGAAAGCAAGCTTGTTTACCTTAGACACTGTACAAAGACTTTTTTTTAAATAAATGGTTGAAAGGATGCCTCCTCTCTGAGGAGTTAGCAGAAAATAAAAGGCAGATTTATATGTCTAATCTATGCAAATATCTACTCTACAGGGCATCACAAAGACTGCTTTATATCAGACAGTTTGCAGATCCCAGGTGCTTTAAATATGCCAAAAACATGCACAGCATCTCCACCTGTGGTGGCTGCTCACTGAGAACAGCTGGATGAATAAAAAGAGGTTGTCTAAGTAGCCTTCCATGAAAAATAACTTTTGCTAATGTGCCAATCCCCATATTCCCACCCAAATTACCCCTGATGTAGCTGCCATTGAGTCTGAAGAGGGAGGGTTTTGGTTTATTGTTTGTTTACATTTTTAATTTGGTTTATCACAAATTCTTCTAGAAATTTTCAAATTATAGCAATAAAAACATGGTGAAACTCCTACTGACATCTCAAGAAATTATCATGGGATTTTAAATAATCTGTGGAAATGGAAAAATCTGTGGGACCGGGCACCAGTAGAATGCCATGAACAGCAGTCAGGGAGATGCTGGAGTCACTTAGATCTTGGAGGACACAGGATTAAGATCAGGCAATATATACAGATGGGAGCCTCAACTCAAGAGAAAAGAAACAGAGTAGAAAGAGTAGAGAAGTAAGACGTCTAGAGGGCAGGAAATAGCTTTCTTAGGAGAAGACCTAATGCTGAGAGTACGAAGCTATGACATTGAAAGTAAGCAACATTACATGTCATGGCCATTACCGGAAAGAAACGACAGGTACTCTATAACTGGTGTCAGCTTTCTCTAAGTTCCCCTAGGACAGGCCAAGAAACATGGCTACCCTGAGAAGCCTTGCCATTCACACTCAGAACCACGAACAGAACAAGACTGATGATGTCCTGCTGGTGCTTCTTACCCTGTCCCAATGATTCACTTTGTCCAAAGAGAAAAAAAACACCCATTACTGCTAATGTTTGCATCTTTAAACAAGTGTCAGTTTTATTAAAAAAGAAGGGAAGAACTTTAAGCTAGAGTCAGATCTGATGTACTAAAACCAATACAATGTCCCCCAGAGTACTCTTTGCCTCTTTTTCTTGCAGGCCTCAGAAGTTGGCTTCAAAGAGCTTACGAGCTGAACAAGCTGCTCTGACAGTCTTTTCATTTTCTTTCCCAAGGATCCTACAGGTCCTTCGTTCTCATATTATCAAAAATACCTATTAAAAATCAACTACAGGCACCCCACATTAAGACATGGCAGTACTTGTGTTTATATGACAGGTGTCTGCAGCTCTACAGGTCCTCAATAACCAATTATATGGCCAGAGCAGGCAACCCATTCACTTACTCAGTCACTCAGCACCCATCCACAATTTGAAACTATGAGGTCATTTGGGCACAAACTGAAATATAAGAAATACTTTCTAAGCATAAACTCCATCCTTCATTGTAACGGTGACTGAACAATGGAACAGATTTTCTGGAGAGGGTGTGGAGTCTCTCCCTCCATGAATATATTCAATATCCAATGGGACAGAGTCCTAGTGCAATCTTCTCTAGCTGATCTTACTCTGAGCAGACAGTCTCCAGAGGTACCTTCCAACCTCAGCCATTCTGTAACTCCTACTTGCGTTTCACTTCAGCAAGTCAACAGACACTCCCACCCCTGTGAGGAACAGCACTGGCTTCTTTCTACATTACTATTCCACTCCTCTCCCAGCATGTCACACACAGACAGGGTTCCATAGAGTCTGTTCTGCACTGGGGGACATAATGCTTGGAGCACTGTTACTCACCCTTATTTCTGCATCCACACTTGGCTTGTGCAATAACAGGAAGTTACCAGCAAAACCATGAAGAGCTCCTGACCACTATCAACACCTACAGGCTGCTAAAGTCCAGTGGCCTGCAGGCATAGGTAGCATTTTATACTTCCAGCGGTAATGACAAATGTAAAGGGGTTATGCTTTTATAAATATTGTCTTATTTGTACTGGGATTCTTCCTGTTGGTCCCAATCACCAAACAATAGCAGAACACAAAATGGTCCTCAGATTGTCTTGAAGAGTCAGACAGTCTTTCAAATAAAAATGATTAAGGAACACTACCTCAGAGCCACTGACTGACACCCCAAGTAACAATTCTCTCAACCATGAAAACCCAAAAGCCTTGGATCATTTTCTCTTTTTGCAAAGACAGTACATAAGGAACAGGAGGTTGCTGTCACTGGAAACAGGAAGGAATATTCAATTCAGCAGCAAATCCATCAAAACCAGCCATCAAGTCTATAATCCTACAGATCAGAGGCAGAGTAAACTAGTTCAGGAAACCAAGTCCCAGGTTTTTGAGTGCTTGTGCATTATGTCAGTGTTTGTGGAAGCATTCTCAGAAGACTTTTCATCATGTTCAAGGAATATTAATCAACCCCAGAAATTATGGAGTCTACAATTAACTAAAAGCTTGGGCTGAGAGATTTGGTTTCACTTCAAGCTCCAAATATGGCCAAGCAAGCTAAGGACTGGAGATGTTTCCACTGAGAGAAGGTTACAAAGGTTCACTAGGAGCATTACTGTCACTAGCTTTGCAGCTTCAGCTTTCGGTGATGGTTTTGTTTTGGGGTTGAGTTTGTTTTGTGGTGGTTCTGTAGCTTCCCAGAAGGAGATGAAGTGTCTCATCACAAATTTTTCATTTAAGGTAGATTTGTCATTTGTACCTATAAGTCAAATATGTAGGCACTGAGTGGGTGAGTCCAGTGCCTACCTCAACATTAGATGTAATCATATGATGATCAAGCCTAATCCTAAAAACAGTCACTATCAAATTGTTTAATCAGTTTACTAAGAGCAAACAAAGCCAAAAAAAGCCCTACAAGCCCCCATCCATCTGTCTACCTAATTGTGCTGTAGACTAAGCCTTTCTCTGCCATTTGCTTCAGAAAGGTCCTCCGTGTCCTCACCTTTCCTTGTTTCAAATATAAATGCACCTATTGCACAGTTGAAGGTTTGCTGCCATCACACCATCTACAGTGCAGCAATTCCACTTCACAGAATAAACAAACAGACCTTAACAGGCTATTCTGTATCTGAAATCCACTAGTAAACTGCTGGCATTGATACAGACATTTAAAGAAACATAAGAGCCACTTATAAGACTCTGCAGCTTATGCTATCAATCACTTCAGAAAGAAAAACAATTCAGCAGCCACTCCAATTCAGAGCGCTGTGAAGTTCAATTGTCACTGAAATGTTCTGTTATTACCAACCTGGGCAGAATGAGCAAATATACCCCTGCAGGTGAGCTATGAATGAGCAATCAGCACTGCAGGCTGCAGCTTGAAGAGATAATAGCATCCAAGTAGCTGCAATGCTTCCTTACACACAGCTAGGCCAGGATTGGGCTGTCAATATGAGCAACAGAACATTTCAGACATTCTGTCTGCACGTTAAATAATTCTGAAGGAAAAGAATATGAGGCTTTCCTCTCCCAATGCATACAAAACAGGAAGGTACAGATACAGAGAAGCATTAATGTTTGGTCTATTAGCAGAGAAATTTAAGTTTTATGATGCTTTTATCCTACTTCTTGGCAAGAAATCAGCATGTGCAGTAGTCAAGGGATGGCTTGACAGCTGCCATTTTAAGAAACAAATCTTATCAAAGTCAATTTTCCAATTCAGTGACAAGTACAAATCCTTTAAAATACACAATCTGCAATATAAAACTTCTTACACACCTTCTAGAATTAAAGACACTTTTTCTCCACTATTTATACATCTTTTTTTAAGACATTATGGCCATGTGGTGAATTTCAGGTTTGCACCAAAAGAACATTTTTTTCAGTGGGGAGGCTTCTGCCACCCTGTAGCCTTCATCCACTGATTCCAGGTTTTACTTCTAGTTTTTCTGATGCAACTTTCCTCTAGACCAGAAAAATAGAATAATTTTGGTTAAAAAGAAAACAAACCCACCCCTTTTTGGGTGAGGTGGGCTTTTGTTTCTTTTGTTTCCTTGCTCTCTTTTTTTTTTTTTTTGGATTAAATTTAATTTTGCACAGATGTGCAAAAACCACACAGTGATGTGGTTTACAAGAACGGCCCCTCAAAACAAGTTGTATTGTTACAACTGCAGCACAGGGCTCTCAATAAAACAGTAATTCCCACTGAAGTTGTTTGCAAAAGTACACCCTGATCATAATTAAAGGACTAATACCCTCCACCAGTTTTAATCTTTTTGTGAAGCATAAGGGGAAAAATGAGGAGTGGAATGGGCAAAACCCACAAAAAGATGCCAAAGTTCACTTTCAGCAAACACAGGTAGACATAAGAATACTAAACTAAAACTCTATATAGAGGTCCTTTGCCTATGGCTTCCTTTTCATCAGTAGAGGGTTACAGAAAAAAAAGTATAGTCACCATGGTCCCTTTTAAAAGTCATGTCAGGTTTTTAAACATTTTAAACATAACTATTACTCCTTTTTTTTTTTTTTCTGCAGTTGGTCATGCATAATCATTCACCAATACAGTGCTTTTTTTTCCCCTCAAACAGGCATAATTAAGTGGTGATTTCTCTCATTATTTGCCCCACTTGGGCAATCAGCAGGAAAGGAAATAGCCAGATGATACCTGAGCAAATACTGAAAGCCAGAAACAGAGCAAGTGTCCATTCCCTCCCAGCTCTATCACGACAGCGTGAACAGAGGGAAACCACATACCTTGTGACCTCCTGCTGCAGTCGGGAAACACTGGGCACATAGAACATTACCCCAAAGAAAAGCAAGGGCTCATTGGCAAATTTGTCCAGCTGCTTCTTCAGGGGTTTTTCCAGTTCCACCCAGCGATCTTGCTGGTTCTTGCTGAGAAACCAAAGGCCAAAGTAGTGAGTCTAGACAAACAAACAAAATAGCGTCAGTTTACTTTCTCCAGCTGGATCACATACACACACCCAGTGACACAAATGCAAATAAGAACAGGTGGTATCGCATATCTTGTTCCATATGCAAAACCATAGTCATTTCTTTCTGACTGCCCTTTTTTGTAGGACAATTTTTGAAGACAATGACAAATTAATATTGCAGTATAATATACTTCACAGAGTACTATCTGCCCCCTACCATCTCTTCCAAATGCACGTTGAAGAGCTCTGCCTGACATTAAGGCACAGGTGACATAAATGATTTATATAAAGTGTCTGAGTCTTTGTTTTCTTAAAAGACACTAGTGCCTTGCAAACAGACAGTAAACACTAAACCCGAATTAAAGCACAAAGGCTTCATGTGACTGGATCAGGCCCACTGCACACAAAGGACAAGGACTCTTCCAGCTATAAAAAGAATGCAAACCCACATGCATAAGTCAAAATATATCTACCAATACCAGAACCATTTACCCAATGCAGAACATATTTGCTCAATTTTTTTAATACACTCACGAGATTTTATGATGCACAAGCATACACTTAAAATGTGCATATCACACAAGTTGTTTGCTCTGGGTTCTACAGGAATACCAGAAAAACCTCAGCTGTTTCCTATCCAGTGTAAATCTCAGTGAGGATAGTACCTATTCTATAAGCTCCATGGTACTGCTGCTGGTGAAGGGTAATTAATGTGAAACAGCATTCAGAACTAGAGCTTCAAATATTATGAATTGGTAATAATCAGCAGAAGGCATTGCCATTCCATCACAAGGGATTTATTTATTTATTTATTCATTTCTTTATTCATATTTAGCAAAGGAATTAATCCATCAGTTGCTTGGAAATATGGCTGTCGACCTAACTATGAAGTTTGCATCAACAGTTTTTTCTTCAGTTTTTCATCTGAGAGCATCTGGAGATTTCCAGCAGTGTCTTCAATATAAAACATCACTTCATGCTAACACCAGAATCAACGAAGGAAACTGTGAGAGGGAGTTTTGGGGACACTAAGCAGATGTAGGGTCTGAAAGCGGGATCATTACTATTTCTGCAAATTTCTCATTTTATTTCAATAAACTTTTTTCTTGGTGTTTAATCCAACTGACTCCCTATTCAATGAAAACTTTCCAGTAGTTTCCATTAGATCAGATTAATCCTAAGCAAAGAGAACATTTTATTATTATATCTTAATTTACCTGGAAAACAATCCTATCAGAGGCAGTCACAATCCTTTACACACAGCACCACGTTTTAAATAAAGATATTTGAGACAAAGATCTCTTATTTGCTGTTTTATAAAGTTTTCATTTGAAATTACTTTTAATACATTCAAAACATTTGGCCAATAAATCAACTACAAACATTTCACCGACTGGACTTCCCAGGTGTTCATGCTTTTAAATAAATAGTCTTCAAAAGTAGCAGGCAAATTGCAGATGCTACACTTTGCAAAATCCACCATCAACAGCCTGTTTCACTTTGCTAAGGATGCTTCTATAAAAACCATCGCATGCACCATGACTTACCACACAACACAGGGACAACTAAAGCAATACCAAAAATTTTAAATGCTTACGAATGACAACAAAACAGCAGGGGAAACACTGCTCCAACTACTTTATAGCTGAAGGCATGCAAGAGACAATCGTGCAAAACTCTGAATGGCAGCACAGGTGTATTTACTTTAGGGTCTCATTACATACACATTTTCAACTTTGGAAAACATCCAGGCTAGCATTTAACTAAGGTGATAGCTAATTCAACTTGATTCCTCAATTAAGCCTGACAAACAGCTTGAGCACTGCTCAGTCTGGTACAGTGAAACAAGCTTGGTTTTTTTGTAGTATTTCCTTCTAGCAATTAAAGGTATCGTCAATAAATCAATCTATCTCTCAGGGCACAAATAAATCAAGAAGTCAGCATCTCCCATAGGATTAACTTAAAATAAAATTAACCAGTTCACTGATACACGTCTACTCTCACCATTATAGTAATTAGATAAAAATGAAAGTGGGAGGAACAGTGGAGGCATTAGACAAAAGGGATTATTGTGAAGATGGAAAAAAGCAGTGATTTTACCATCTCATAAGGGAAACCCTTTAACACAGAAATACTTAAAAATCACTGCAGGGCAGCTCACCCTCAGCAAGAAAGTGCAGAACTGGGAAATCAGAGCTTCCATATTACTTTAAACATTCACATCACCTAGGACCCAAATTTGCAGTGTCAAGTACCTGTAAAAGATCTGACAACTAAGAAGATCTGGACTCTGAACTCTAAGAGTTATTCAAGGGTATTGCAATTAAAGAAATCAAATGAGCACAGTCCCTCCCCTTTGAGTGGGGCTGGGGGACAACAAAAGTTTAGATTTGCTACAGTAGAAAGGCTCTTCAAATACCAAATCCAAAATCCTGAATCAATTCCAAGGAGCAAGAAGTAAATGAAATGCAGTGTTGAAGCTTCTAGACTACAACAGATATCATGGACCAAACATGGCAGCATGTATTTTGCACAGTTAAAAGACAACTGTTTTCCTGGAAAGTAGCCTGGAGAAGATCAAGCAATTGCAGATGAAGCACAGGAACTGACTGCAGAGCACAGCTAAAGTCACAAATGCATCCACTTTGGAGAAACAACCCACACAGTTATCTGAACAACAGCTCCCTGTCACAGGAACTTTACTTCTTGAAAACATTAGTATTTTTTAAGAACCCACAGTGAAGAAGGACTTCTGCAGCCACTACTTTGAATGCCTGGAGATACGCCCTCTGGTAGGAATATTAATAATTCCCAAACAGGAATGGAGGACTGTGGGACTGAAAACAGTTGGACCATCAAGTTCAATATGCTATGACCAGGCATATGGCTGTCCAGAAGGCCTCACAGAGTGTGAGTCATCTGTTGCCATGCTCTTCAGTACACAAAGCATTTTTGCAGTACAGACACCTCACAAATTAGTAGAGGGAATATCAAAACAGGGTCTTTAATCTACAGGCAGCTGATTGAAAACCAGGTTGATTCCAAAAGCTGGTCTGTTTGTCCATCTGTAAAAAGAGTGAATCACTGACTTCACTTTTCATGGAATAAATATCTACACCTACAGCTGGCAAGCTCTGAAGTAATACAGACTGCTCTCAAGGTTTTAAAATTTCTCTTACCTACCACATATTACTTCATACATAGTACAAGGAAGCTGGTTTACACTCCTCTAGGAGCTGTGGTCAGAGCACCAGAGCACCTCTGCACCTCAATGACACTATGTGAAAAGGTGATCCTGAAAATACAGTGAGTCAGAAAACTGGATGCACAAAAAACTGTGCTGAGAAGTCTTAAAATAGATTATATTGTAGCTGCCAGTCAAGAGACAACATATTCGTTTTGGACTTGGACTTAGCTATACTCCCAAGACCAGACCTACCCCGCCTTAATGTTGGACAGAGCAGAATTGTCAACAACCAGAGATGACAGACAGTTACTAAACTAGCAAATGTCATTCAAAAGAAACCATCAAGGCTGCCTGGTGTTTATTAAAGCATCTAGTTAAGCGGACAGATAAATATTTATCCTTGAGAAAGACACAGAGTTCCATCTCCTCCAGGCAAAAAGCATTGAGCCCTGCTATCCCAGGGCACTTGCACAGAGGGGAAGGCACCATTTACAGCAATCTATTGTTCATAAAAGGTCTTTTGTCCAAGCACTGCCTGACCTGAGCCCCATCCCAGCTTTGTTGGCAAGACAGGTCAAACCAAGTCAAACTTTGAGGTAACCTGGCTGCCAAACCCAAGTTTTCAGTCATGCCCTACAAGACAAGGGCACCTTCTAGGGCAGAAGAAAATAAAGGTCAGAATCACAGCAAAAGGCCACCCTTGCACAGTGGTCAACATCTGCCTGCAGTGCTCAGCTCATCATAAACTGCTTTGGATTGTAGTGCTGGAGACAACACTATGAAATTTAGCTTAAAAAAGTAATTTTGGTTGGAAAGGAACTTCTTGTCCTCTCTCCCACTTACAGTACATCAGAACATACCATCTTCAAATGTTTTAACATTTTGAAAAGTAAATTAAACAAAAAGAAGAAGGAGACATGAAGACTCACAACAGATTTGTACAGATTACCCTGCTATTTAAAGCAGGTTCATTTAGTCTGACTTGAAAGGAAAAATGCCATTATACTGGGAAAAAATCCCTTTTATCATCTGTGCACATACATACAAGATTATAAAATGACATTTCTGACCTTGTATTTCCATTCTTTCCCTTCCTCCCCTCTTCTTGTCTTTACTTTTTACATAATGTTGGCATAAAAGCTTGTTTTATTGGAAGTGGTAACTGTTCAACTAGAAGACCTGATGCTTTGTCAAGAGCCTTGCTGAAAGGATGAAAACAGATTTTACAGTAGTTACATGGCTCCACTTTCTATTGACCTATTCCTGAACCCTGACTCAGGCAGGCAGGGAGTTGCATTCCCCAGAGATCAAATAGAAATATGCATAATCCATTAGATACTGTTTTTCAGTCATGTGTGGTATGATCGACAGTCCTTCACAACACTGCATATCTCAAACAGTTTTGCCTTTTAGCAGGAAGGGTTTGGACAGTTTTTTGTTTATTTCTAAGAAATTGGCTTGAGTCAGACTAGGATGTATTCCTAACAAGAAGGTACAAGTTGTGGTATATCTGAGATTTATTTAAACATAAGACCAAACTGAAGTATTACCTGAGACTGCATGAAAGAGAGAAACAGGATTTTAGTATTGTTTTGTTAGCATGGGATTTAATGAAGCTTGGCTTATCCTTACTTGTACATCAAGTTTGCTGATTTCTACGAAAAGGCTTATTCCAGCTGAAATTTTTGCTGCACTCATGGAATTTTAAAAGTTTCTCTCCAGCATGGATGCCTGCAAGAATTTTTGCCTCAGTACACTTAATCGGTTTCTCTACTTAGCTATGCAGTTGCACAAATCTTGTAGAAATTTGAAGTTCATCACAGTATTTTTGAACCTTCTGTAGAATTTGACTGGACAGGAAGTTCAAAAGCTATGGTAAGTCTAGGGAGGGAAGGGGACAGTCACCAAATTACTTCATCCTACCATGGCAGGAAGACCAGAGGGGTAGATAGAAGAAGAATTGAATTTGGAGACTGAGAGAAAGGACAGTATCCAGCACCCCTAAGGTTTCTAGCTCCAACTATTCCTCATGCAAGGAGCAGAAGAGGATGCAGGGAGACACTCTCAGAGTTTAAAGAAGTCAATTATTCTCTCATAAAAACAACAACAAAACCCCCAAAACTCAAACAAACAAACAAAACCAAAACAAACAAAAACCAACCAAAAAGAAAAAACCCACTTCTGTCCAAAAATGCTGTATTGTTGAAATCTGAACTTTACAAAACTAGTTCAACATTGCCAAAACTTTGTTTAGAAAAAAAAAGCACGGGGGGTGATGAAAGAAGGGGAAAGCGTTCCAACAACATCAAAGCATTCTCTTCTGTGTTGTTAAAATATTTTTTTATCTTGAAACACGAACTTTTTGTGCTGACATATTTCTTTTTGCATGACAGAAATAATTTTGAAAATGAAAAAAAACCCAAAGCAATAGAAAATCCCCTTGAAACTGAACACTGACCAAAACAGCTTCCTTTGCTACTCTACTGTCCAATGTCTTTTCTCTGGAAAATTTTGAAACTTCAGGCTTTGTTCCAAAGTGGAACAAAAAACACATTCTGAAATCACAAAATTCTTTGTGGAAAAGAACGCTAACCTGCTGACAGAGCTATTGTTTGCAAATGCAGGTGGACCTCCAGAGAGAATCATTAGGCCTCAGACTCCTCCTGCACCAACTAGATAAGCCCACAAGGAATATGAAAAGAATCACCTGATTCATTTCACTGCTTTCTGCACTAGAAGGAGAGGGAAGGACATAACTTCTTTCTAAGGACACCCTAAAGCATCACCAACAGAAAAAAAAAAAACAAGGGGAAAAAAATTACTGAGAAATGTTCCTCTCTAGAATTAAAGGGAGGAGATGATTCTCCCAAAATCCATATTAAAAAAACAAGCCACCTAAGTATGAAAAATCACTGAGCAATATTCTCTCTGCCCTGTTCCTGTCCGCACGTTTTCCAGTTTACTCTGCAAATACACAGAGTGAGATTCTTCTCTCATTCTTTACCATTATGAATGTATGAAACGTGGTTTTGTTTAATTTTCATCTGCGACAATTATTTGCATGCTACTTGCTGCTACTACAAAGGTCTATGGACCAACTGCATAAGACACTGCAAGGGGCTGTAAAACACTGCAAGATTGTTAGATATCCCAGCTGTGCTCACAGAAAGAATCAGCCAGGACAGGCAGATGACAACACAGTAAATTCCAGGCAATGGTTTTCAACCTGTGATTTGAAAAAGTCAAGAAGCATGTAGGATACATGCAAGGAATCTACAGAAGGTAAGAAAAGCCAGTCAGTTCATTTGTCCTATGCACGTTGGAAAGGTACTTCTAAAAAGGATTCAGCACTTAAAATAAACACTGAACTCTACAGCAAGAAATAGGTAAATAAGGATTTCAGTCTTTATTAAGGTTAGACTGGTTTCTTCAGCCTTTCTGGAAGCACTGGGAATGTAAAAGAAGCCTTTCAGAATTTCAGATGTAAAATATTTCAGTTCAACAAAAGGAAGGAAAAAATCACCATCCTCAAACTGTTACCAGTTGCACATAATTGTTGCCTATTTTAGTTCTATAGTAACAAGAGTATATTTCTATGAAGGTGGATATTTAAAAGCCAGAGGGATCTCCTTCCCACTGGCATAATTCAGCCATAAGTGCTGGTGAAACCAGGCTTACATTCAGAAAAAGTTCGTGTAACTTGTCCCTTGGCATCCCAGTTCAGAAAGTAACAGCCATGGCTTTCTAAGAAACCTCATGTTCGTATTACAAAGAGCTCTCAAAGTTATGATGGATGAGCAACAGCCCAAAACCTCGAGTGCTGTTCTGCCTTCAGTTTTCATGCAATCAGACTGTGTTTGTCCAAGCTCCAGCTGCTGATCATATCTGGCCAGCTCTGAGAATAACATGATTCAAATGAACAGACTGCCTGAGCTAAAAATGTGTCAAATTATACAGTGACAGATGGTCTTTCCTGGGTTACTCGTACCTCACGTAATTCCAGCCTCTGAGCAACAGCTTCCAAGCACTCCTGCCCAGTGCTCTCCACGGAGAGGGTGCACTCGATCACATTGCTGTCCAGCAGACGGATCCTTGTCACAAAGCAGTTCTTGCTCAAGACGTTGTAGCGTCTGGTCCGTCGCAGTTTCAACCCGAAAGGCATGGTTGTTGGCCTGGAAGGTCACCCCTTCCCTGTGCTCTTCTGAGAGTTATTAGCACACTTGTTGACTTGCCTCAAAGGCTTCTTCAACTGGCATCACTCTCCTCCAGAAATGGGAATAGCTGTCCATTCCCAGGGCGAGCTTCAAGGGATTCCTGCAAAATACATACAAATAAGTAGACTTCAGTGTGAAATAACGTGTTCCTAAAGTTCAGTGGGAAAGAGAAAAAGCTTAAGAGTCACATTTAAAACCATAAAATTAAACACCTTCACAAACAGGATTGCCAGGCACTTACTACATCTCCCAAATGAACACCTTATACAACAAACCTTTCAAAATACTATTTTGGCGCTGAATTTAAAGTACAGATTTAATTACAAAGCTGTTCTTTGAGAAACTCAGTACAAACGGTAACTCTACAGGGCACGCATCCAGAGGTGCTAACTCTCCCACCATTACCCCCACCGCAGGGGTCTATAACATAATCTTCAAGTTTTGGTGCCCTCAGGCCAGCTTTGAAAAACAGTTAAAAAGCTAAGGAACAGAGGCATTGAAAAGAGATGCGATTTTGAAAGAAGAAAGGCTGGCATCAGTCAGCAGGAAATGCAGGCACTCAGCACCTCTGAAAAAATCAAACCTAAAATATGCATGTGAAAGGCAAGAAGCATCCCAGCCATTTCAGAGAAGCCTCCTCTGAGGCAATCCCTGGCATTTTCCTCACTTACAGCTCCAAAGCAATTCTGCATTTCACACTTTCAGGTGGAATGAGTAACTGCAGGAACACAGCTGTCAGAGACCAGCAAAACACCGAGTGGGAGCAAAAGAACACATATTCTAGATATTTTTTCTAACTAATACTCCTAAAATTTATCAGGGACACATGCAACTGTTGAGCCAAAACACAAACTAAACAGAAGAACTAGAGATACAGAAACAATGACATCTGTGAGATCCACTTCTTTTAAAACAAAACAAAGAAAAAAGTTTAGTTAAGAGTAGGTTCAAGCTAAACTAAAAGAAAGCATTTGCACTGACACAACCAGCTTTCCATGTGCTGAGAGGAATGAAATCAAAAAGAAATTACTTGCTACCAAGCCTTCCTGGTTTTATTTGAATATTCTGGAGAAAGAAAGGAGGAACACTAAACACTGGCATTTGAAAGTCCATTTCTCTTAACAAATAGTACTTCAAATGGAACACTAGATCCCATTTCCTTGCTTCTTAAGAGAAGTACAGGAAGACATTGCCAGCGGAGTGTGCATCATTCAGCTGAATATCACATTTTAAACAGATAGTACATTGCCCACATGTACCCTTTGGCACAGAACTGCACAAATCAGTTATTTTCACTTTTTACTGAATGTAGTTGTTATGGAGATTACTAAAAGCTGCCCATTAGACTAGAGTGGTTATCATTACACTAGAAGAATATTTCACATATTTCATGAAATGCATTTTCCAAAGCCAGTATAGCTTGACATTTATTAGGGGGTTAAAGCAACACAAGCAAAACGGAAAAAAAAAACAAAAAGCACCCCCACACAAACAGAAAACCACAAAACTTCTCACTGGTAGTCTACTAGGTTCACCAGAGAAGACTTTGAGAAGGAGCACGTGCTACTTGACTGAAGTGCAAACAAACCTATCAAATTAGCAGCTGTGATTTAATCTCCCATTTTTAGCTTTCATGGGTACAGGCATAATGTATTGTTTTCACATAATTGCATGAGAGAGCTGTTATACCTTGCATTGCTGTAACGTCAGAAGCCATCAAAGACACATAAATACATCCTCACAACAATTTGACGAGGCAGGGATGTGTTACCCGTGACTCATAGAAAAGGAATTGAAACAAACATTAACCAGCTCGTTAAACACGGCTCAGGAGAATGGCTTCAGACCTATCTACTAAAACATGCAGGCCAGGTTAAGGCTTTAACCCCTGCCAACTACTTGCCAATTACCTTGCTGGCCAACGTATCTCAAACTTCAGCATGAATTTGTAAAGTGGAAAGAATGGAAGGAAATTACAGAGAGGGAAGGGTGTGGAGGACTACATCTTATCAGGAACAGCATTTTTTTTCAGCCTCTGGCTTTGCAGACTATTTTAAGTTGGACACATTGAGAGTTTCAACTGGCCAATTCAATTCAAAAACACCCTTATCTTTCATTACTGTAAGTTGCACACATATCCTTGCAGAGTATAAGCCATTTTCTTTACAGTAATTGTACAGTTAGTAGTAACCTAAAGATGAAACCAATGATGGTTAAAAAAACCCAAGTGCCTGGCCTTGCTGTCCAGGCACATCGAACACTACAGCTATTGCCAGACAAGCTATCCCGGAAGGCACGTGTGAAAACCCACCAATTCCCGTATAGCAAGGTTCTTTAATGTTTGTTTTATCTTGAAGGCATCGGAAGCATGCATTTTACTCATTATTATTTTGTAGATGATCAAAAAAAAGATGTCATTGGAAGACAGAAGTGTTTTGGTCTTCCAAATGAAGGATTCCATTAGAGGATCTCCTTTCCCAATTTAAAGGTTGCCAAGGAGGAGCAATGTCCCTAACCAAGTTAACCACAACTGTGCAGGCGTTCACAACATTCCCCTTCTCAAACTCACACTTCCACTTTAAACAAAACAAAACCAGTGAAACTAAGGCAAGCCTATAAACAGTTTATCAGATAACCATGAACTTGTCCTAATTTTAACAAAAGATTTCTATTAACAGTGTTTCAGCGATGAAAGAGACAAAATTGACAAGTTTTAAACTGACATTTTCTATTAAGGAATCATTTTTCTGAAGAGAAATTAGACTGGGCCCTTTAAAAATTTTTGTTATTTTTTGTTTGTTTGTTTGTTTTTTCTTTTTGTTCCCTGTTTTCATTATTTTGGATTCTTTCCCTCCCCACTGCCATCCTTCAACTTTGTGTATCAATTGCTCTTTGCGAATTAAGTTCATTCTAAAAAGTGTGCCGAATTAAACAAAGTTCTTAGCTAGAGCATAAGCTTTGGACTTTAAACATTCTGCTAAGTGGAAATTCCTTTTTTTAAAGTACATACTTTGCAGGTATATAAAACAGACAAGAAACCTTAGGTCCCTCAACCATTTCTCAGAAAACAGCTACCAAAAAAAAAAAAAAAAGGAAAAAAAGGCTTTGCAGAAGCACATACAAGTTATCTGCCCATCTAACCATCTATAAGTTCTATAAGTGAGCCATCACCGTTATCTGATATGAATATCAATTCAAAAGTGAAACCTCAAAATCGGAAGTTGAAATAGGGTCTCTCTGAAAAACAAAAACACAGCACTAACACTCTCAGTATCTTGGAAAGTAATAGTCTGACAGACTGAGATTTTTGCAATGCTTAGACAGGCATGTGCTGATGCCAGTGCTGTACAAAAGCAGAGGCACAGTCAGGGAACAGCAGGAACAGGGCAGCCATGCAAGGAGGGGTGAGCTGGAGCCAAGGGTGACCCTGGCAGGACAGTGTCCTCACCCCGCAGAGCACAGCCTTGGGGGGCATGAGCTGACAAGCAGAGCTGGGTGCTGCAAATGGGTCCATCGGCAGCCCCAGGCATGGCCGGCACTGAACCAGGTTCAAGAGGTTCCAGCATCAGGAGGCATGGTTGGAGGATGATCTGCCACACAACTTGGGCAGAGGCTGATCTGAAATGATTGTCCCAGACCTGTGGGCAGAGGGTGCGGTGGAAGCCCCAGATGAGGCTGGTCAGGGCCATTGAGGCACACAGGCGCACTCAGGGCCAGAAAAGGCAACATCGTTTACAGGTACAGGACCAGGCCAGCTCTACTCTCTGACTGTATTTTAAATCTTTAACTCCTTCCAATGCATGCTTATCTGAGACAGAGGCTCAGTTTTGCAAAATATCTCTCCTGGAACAGTTTGATGACAAACATGGTGTACAAAATGTAAAAATCAAACAAACAGCTTTTCAAAAAAGCATCTATCCTAAATGCAGTTTCATCAGTAGGAAGACAAAGAGACAATATCTTAGTGGATTCTTGGTAAAGCTTAATATTCCCCTGTTTCAGCAGACTAAGGAAACAATGAAATACGAGCCAGCCCCTTTGCTATCACAGACATTGGAATCACACTATTTATGTTATTTACCTAAAAAAGCCATATAGATAGTCAATGGTTGTGGAGTAGGGAAGACCAAAGGCGGCAAAATAGAATAAAAAATGAAAAGATATTTGACACAGAATAAAAATAAACCTTTACTTCATGATCTCATGCCAAGCACAAAATAAGTTCTCCCAGCAGCTTTCACTAAAAACCAGTTTAAAGATGGGCCTGATGTAAACCACGTATGTTTCAGCTCAGAAAACTCTTACCTACCTCATTCTTTACTTTGCTTGAAAGCCTTACCAGCATATTGTCTGTATAAAGGCAGCAGACACTGAGGTGTGGATCCCTCCAATGGTATTTGATTTCTCCATAACACTGCTGCATCTTGCAGGGTGGGAGAGGAGGAATCACTGATCAGTCTTGCAAAAAATCCTTCCCTATACAGAAGGGGTTTCAGAAAGTACCACTCCCCCATTGTTCAGCCATAGAACACTGTTCTTCACATATCCAGAGGCAGGAAAAAACCGCATCTCTCATACAACCAAGAATATCTTCCAAGCACAATGCTGGGTACCAAACACCTTCAGGCTGCAGATAACACAGCTATAAATGTTTAGGGAGGAAAAGGCTAATCTATTAGTGCTACCTACTATTAGCAACCCACCTTCTTCACTGGTCAGTCCTGCATGAAGAACTAGGTCAGATTCACACTGTGATATGCAACACAGAATTGCTTCTGATTTTTAAGAAAACTTTGTTAGTTTCTGCACAGAATATAAACTCTCCCTATGGATATAAATTACCTGAAGCAGATAAAAATTTCTGCTTTTCCAAAACTTTATTTTTTTTTTTTTTCTTAAATGAGACTTTACAGTGAAACCAGGTCAAACCACTAGTACACAAAAAGCAAATGAATGATTATTTTAGACATTTTCCAAACCTAGAACCAAAAGAAGCCAGAAATACAAAAAATTCTTCCTTAGCTCTTCCAAAGTCAGCTGGGGCTGGCCAGATTTTTGTTCGTTAGTAGTTTTAAAACAAAACAGACTGAAGGGAGCAAG